CTACTTGTAGCTTCTCCTGTTGCTAACACCTCTTTAGAGATTAATTAGGAGAGCTTTTTTCCAACATTATACATAAATCTCTTTGCCTTGTAATTTAAGATAATTGCAACATCCTGGCTCCAGTTGAAGACAGTGAGCAATTTATTCTCCTCCTTCCTTATACTGGGACTGGTTGGATCTTCCCCATGCCATAAATCTTCCATTGTGCCTTGTCTTGCACTCTGTTGGCCTCCTGATTATTTATAGAGTATATCTATAATTTTGGGATTGGCACGAGAGCTCCTGCTGCAGCTCTCTATTCTTCCCATGTTTCCCTGATTATCTTTTCCTTTCTTGGTGGAAGTCATATTCCCACCTGCATCAGAATGCTCATGTGAGTGCTATTTAAAAGGAAGTGAGTTTTATTTCAGCTTGCACATATAACAAAATTGCTTTACAAAACTAAGAGGAGGTACCCTAAACTTGACATAGGATTGTGGCTGTGGTTTTTGCTTTCATGAATTCCAGAACTGAATCAAGGTAGCTGGTTTGAAATTGAGTGTGAGATGTAAAAAATCATTAGACGTTTAATGGTGTATCCTAATCCTAATAGTGTAATCCTAAATAGAGTTACCCCTGCCTTAAGCCTATTGACTTAGGTGGTTTTAAACTGGAATAAATCTGGCACATATACTTTACTAGAGAGTGATTTGTTTAGGGCTGCAGAGAGCTTGAAACTTACTAGAAGTTTGTATTGCCTTGATTAGTGCAGAACTGGAGGCAGAAAAGAAATCACTGAATTTAACCTGCCTGGTCAGTTTCAGTTTTTGCCAGTTTTAATCCTTTTTGTTGTCCTTCAGAAGGGCATGGTTGCTATTACTGCTCTGTAATCTGAACAAGGTAAATCTAGGAATAAAAATAGTGTGAGCAAAATGTAAAAGCTTCCCTGCTGTCTTCTTCCACCCTATATCCTTTTATATTTTGAAGTCTTACATGGACTTTGTTTGTTCAGCTTCTCCTTAACTGTAGACCTTAACTATTTTGACCTTTATAATCACCCTCTGAACAATTTATCTTCAATAGAGTGGTGGCTCCAGGAGTCCTTGTGGATGGTAGGTTCAGTGTCCTGCAGTAACTTTTGGTCAGTTCTGCATTCTGATTGTTTTTATTGGAGAAAAAGGAACATGTGCCACTGGGCCTCCTTAGCAACTGAAAAAATCTTGAATGACAGAATTTTCTCTTTATCAAATGATGTGAAAAATAAAATAAAACATTGCAAAGTGGACCAGTGCCTTAACATGCTGCACTGTATATGCACCATTATTTCTACATCAAAAGAAATAGTATTAGTAATGACAACATAGCTAATTCAGCATATGCTAATGGTGCAAGAGAGATTTTGAAGTAAGGAAAGATAAATGAAGAATCCGTAGGAAAAATACGTTGGACATGATCAGTGTTCCCTCTCAGCTGAGTAAGTGTGAGCTAGCTCACAGTTTGTTAGCCTCTGGCTCACACATTTTTGTCTTAGCTCAGGAAGGATGGCTCCAGAGCAAACTAATTTATGCAGTAGCCAAATCACTCACTCACAACTTTAATGCCAGTAGCTCACAAAGTAGAATTTTTGCTCACTAGACTCCACAGCTTAGAGGGAGCATTGGACAGAATCCATTCACACCACAGGCATAGTACTTGTGTGTGGGCAAAGCTGAGAATGCTCAGTGGAGCTCATTTCTGCTTCCTATCCCCATTGTGCTCACACAGATAAGAATATAGGATGCTTGGAAGAATGAACTGTGTGCACCTCTCATGTTTAGCCCTTTCTCTCTGCCCAACTTTCTTGTGCTCAAAGCCCAAGTAACTTGGGCGCAGAATAAAAGAATATTCTAAAGGTCTGATACATGAAAAAACGTAGCATGTCTGTAGCATTTCTTCTGCAGTGTTAAAAAGGCCTTTCATTTTACATACGTGCATTTTGTGTTTGGGCTAAGGTTATGGGACCCCTGCTGGGGGTGGAGGATCCCCTTCCCCCAGCAAACACTCCCCACTGTCATTCGGGTGTGTGTGTTAGTGTAGTGTGCCTGCCCACGCCAGTGGTATTGGGGTTGCTAGAAGTATCCAGCGAAGTAATAGTCCAAACAGTCTTGTGTAAAACTATTTATATATTTATTTACACAAGCATTTATATCATTATACGCACCGACAGAGTGCTTCGCAATACACAGGTTCATCAGAAGGAAGATAACTGTACAATGCATGAACACGTATATATACATATTAGCCAATCAGATAAAGACTGCTTAGTCACTCTGACTTGGTTGCACAGTACAAGACAGAACAGGACAGAACCAGTTCATTCCTGTTGAGATGACTTCCTAGAACTGTCAAATAGATCAAACTCATTACCAGCTAAGGTCTTATTGCAGCAAGTGAATGCGGACAGGGGGAAGGTGCCAAAATAGGGGAGATATCAGCATTGTGTCTGGGGAATGCCAAAGATGCTCTGGCATTTGGGCAAAATTCTATGGTTTCATGGGGGAACACAAGAAGCAACATCAGTGTGCCATCAGCGAGAGCCTTCACCACCCAGTAAGGCCCTTGATGGTTGACCTGGCAACTGTAGTTTGAGCATATATGCAAAGTGTTTGTGAAAAACTCTAGGGTATTGCAACTAAAGATTGGAATAGGAAGAAATAAAACATACTTAACTCTGCCTTTACTATTTTTCCTTTCCAAGGCACCCTAATTGG